GTATGAGAATACGTTGTCCAGAGTGTATCACGTGGTAGCAAGTCTATCGCACACCCCACACGTAAGAACATTTAATTTAGGTATTTTATTCCTTAAATGTAAATCCATAAATTCATCCTCCGTGTATTCTGAAACTTGTGTTTGAATGTCATCAAGTTATAACCTCCATAATGCCCTTAGTATCTTAAGGTCATCTTTCAAAAAAACTCTGTTGGTACTAGACTCGTAACAGAAGGCCCTAGTACCGTTCGGAACATGGTCAATACGTCAATAGCCTTCGCCTGATGTCATCATCACGTTGAAATCAATTTGCTATTAGCCACGCGTGAGTGCGGTTGGGTACATTTTTTACAAAAGGTTAAAAGGTTAAAACAAGGAAGAATCTACTTTACAAATGAATATATTAATATCTATGATTAATTGAGACAACGTCAAGTTGATTTTCATAAAGACTTTTAACAGACAAGTCAATAATGAAACTGTCTAGGAAACTGTGAATGGCTATATGTATCCTGTCCAGTTGATTAAACTCCAGCAATGAGGTTATGAGTGACAGTCGTGACAGGTTTTATATTCCCCAAACAATTACGTTCTCTAGGAGGAGTGTGAAGCTTAATACATTTTTTATTTTAAAATACGGAGTGTGCGATAGACTCATCTCCACGTGGTGCACCCTGGGCAAAGTGTACTCATACGGCAAAAAGTCTATAAACCGGCAGTTGACTTTTGACTTCAAACTACTATGACCCCATTGTATGTCATATTCGAATACTTCCACTGTACTCACCCCACCTTTTTTTCTACCTTTGTGTCTGTCTGTCTCCTTTACATCTTTGAATCACTCTTCTGTCTCCTCTCTCCACTTCTCAAGTTGTTGTTCCTCCCCTCTGTGAAGCCCACCCATTGAGATAAATAAATAAATAACTATTCTCTAGGATAATTTCAGTTTTGAAAATATGACTCAACAGTGTTTTTTGGTTTGAATTTTCGTCGATTGATTACTAGGTACATGTTGAAGGCTTTCTGCTCCTCAATAAACTTGTCAATAACTAGACATATAGGTTCGTCAAAATCCAGATTTTCAAAGTGCGGGGAAAGAGGATATTATGACTTCATAGCAGACATACCTTTCACAGTTAGTCTAAACGCTCCCAACATGAGACCTTCCAAATATCTACCTATTGGCGTTTAACAGCAATATTTGAATAGTGGATTAGTGACCAAAATTTTCCGTCTCTCATTTCTATTCCATATCCAGGTGATATTTTAGTACAATCATAATGAGTAATTCACTGATAATTGATTGTCGGCTTGCATTAAGGCTCATTTTCAGAAAGTGAGGCTTCATTGAAGATTAGAACACTTCCCAAGAAGTTTACATCTAGTATAATTTTACTTACGTGGTTTCGTTTTTGTTTTGAAGAATTGCTTAAAACTGTTAATAAGCATTCTATCCTAATTTTTGAATATCTATACAGAAGGCCATCACTTAATATAGTTATCTTCCGATGTTACATCAATGAAATTTGAACATGTTATTGTAAAGAATGCATATTATGGTACATGTGTGATGTGAGATTGACTTGCCTCCACGTGGTGTACCTTGGACAACGTATACCCATACGACAAACAAGTCCATAAATCGCCATTTGACTTTTGTCCTCAAACTACCAAGAACCCACTATTTGTCATATTCGATCACTTTCACAGTACTCACCTTACCTTTGTATCTATATGCCACTTTTAAATGTGTAAATCACTCTTCTGTCCCCCCTCTCCACCTCTTGTGACTTTGTCCGTTCCTTCCCTCTGTGAAGCCCGAAATCGACTAAAGGACCTCTATTTCAAATAAAGTTCGACTTCTTTATAGGCTTTCTACTGGACGCTACTTCATTACACTTGTTTCGTTAATGGAAAATCTTTCCAGATGTCTTATTTTGCTGCTTTTTCCATGGCTTAAAGGTGAAATAGATGCACACTTTACTGGGCTTAACACTAATATTTCAGGGAGTTGGTTGCATTCTTCAGTAGTTTAATACTTATTAATTTCAAATGGCAGGTGTTTTGATAGCTATCATTAGACATTTAGTTGACTTCGGGCTACACAGAGAGGAGTGGGAACATCAAAGTAACAGAAAGTCGAGGAGTGGGGAACAGAAGAGTGATTGACAGATGTAAAATTCGCTGTACTTCACAATCCTCCAGTTAGAACATTAGCTCTATTCTAGATTTTAGCTTGATATTAACGGATTGCTAAGCACTATAACTGATAAAAGGGCTTATGCCTTAAAAGACGGCCCAAAATTCGGTTTTTGAGATGTAAAGTTAGCTAATAATGTACTGAATGCGAGATTTCTTTCTCAGGTCGTGAGCCAATATCAAGAGTGGTTTTGTTTGATGGCATGGAATCCTATTGAAAGGATTTTGCGTCTGCTGTTCGAAGTACCACGAAATTCTCGATTCTATTGCCTATCAATTTTATGCGAAAAAATTTTCCCATCCAAATTTTTACCCCAATTCCTAGCGATGTAATTGGAAAGAACCGCAAAACGGTGCAAAAACGTAACAGGTAATACATTTTTGCCGCCGTGAACAACAAGTTATATCCACGCTTTTTGTGTGTAAAACAGTGGAATGCGGTGGGATGTTAACACGATAATCTCCTCCGCGATGAAGTGACAACTGCTAATGTGGTGGGGGAGGGGGGGGAGTGGAGGAGGAAGGCGCCAGAAAGGCTGCGTCGCCAAGATACGAAAGGGGACATCTCCCCCAACCCCCACACCCCACCGTATCGCTGCACCAGACCCATAAAAATAATTTAAGCCCGAGGGCCCACTGCTTTTTGGTCTATGAAAGATAACAGGTTGTAAGAAGTTGAAAGAACTTGACAACTTGCTTTAGACCGAGTTATACCACCAACCCGGTCTTTTTACCATTAGCTATGAAAAAAAACTCAATTCACTAAGAGTGAGCCCTTGCGTTCACAGTGAATGAAGATGCCAAATTTCTCATGGTTTTATGTGACAATAAGAGGTATGCGGCAGTAGAAAATGGTAGAAGTAAAGTGGTCTACTAGAGCAAAATTTGCCATAAAACAAGCAAACACTTTGACTATGGGTGTTTTGGAGAAAACTTTCTGAAGTAATAAGAAATAGAGTAGATTTTCATCCCTTTAACTTGTGACCACTATTTTTTCCGGTGCACATTTTTTTTCGAAATGCTGTTTCAAAAGTCAGCTTTCGTGAGATCAGAACCAAGGGACTACTCCAGGCTTTCAATTGATTCAGTTTTTAAACCAGCTGGATGGCAACAGTCAATCCCACGCATTCTTATAAAGTGTACAAGTTGTTTTCAAATTTTCTAGTGCCCTAAAGCGCAATTTTTTCTGATTTGGCTGGTAAATTTTGGACGTGAACTCATGCCTGCATTATTCAGATGATGGTAATCAATTAATATTGGAGGTTTGGTCGCACCACCACGTTTTCAATACGTCCTTTGTAGACACAGGTGAGCGAATGCGACTGAAAGCGATATATTTATATTAGTATGTTAATAATTCCATTACTTACTGTAAATAGCAGTCACAATATTATGCTTCCCGACCTCTCCCTGCCTCCCCCCCTCCAAGACAAAAAATTCGAGCAAAGTAAATGCCACACTTTTGTCGAGGTTATAGAGGTCACGAGGGACCAATCAAGAATTACTTCTATGATCTGGAAACAACCTGGAATTGAAAGAAGAAGGGGAGAATGGAACCTTATCTTATGTAAACAGGACTTTTAAACCCATAATGAACTCCTTGTTCTCAGTGATTTTCACAAATCACCAGAGCAAGTATCAATGAGTTTTTTTTGCAAAATTGTAATTACCATGATGGCTGCCCATGGGGAGAATTTGATAATAGTAGCTTTCCCTGCTTAATGCTAGCCAGTATTTAAACAGTAGTTAGTTGCTGATGAATTAGGAAAGCTCATTCCCTAGGTCTAAAAACAATTCCAAAAACAAAAGTATGTTTATGCAAAGACAGAGAATAAAATGAAGTTGAGTAACATTCAATTTCTTATTAAGCCCACCATTTAAATATTTATTTATTTATCTCCAATGGTAGGCGTTTTGATAGTTATTATTAGCCCTTTGGCTGACTTCGGGCTTCACAGAGGGGAGGAGGAACATCAAAGTGACAAAAAAGTTGATGAGGGGGACAGAATAATAATTCACAGATGTAAAAGGGACAGACAGACACAAAGGCTGAGAAAAGGTGAAATGAGTACTGTTGAAGTGGTCGAATTTGGCATACAGTGGGTGATGGTAGTTTGAAGTCAGAAGTCGGCTGCCGATTCATAGATTTTTTGCCATATGAGTATACGTTGCCCATAGTGCACCACGTGGAGATAAGTCTATCGCACACCCCACCATCTAAATATTGAGATGTAAAGATTTACTTTGCAAGGTTACCAACAAGCATGGTTTTAGGCGGATCATGTAGATAACACTGTCTCAGAGTGAGTTGCATTCAACCAGCATGGATCGAAAAATAGCCTGTTATTCAAATCGGATTGCCGAGGTAAACCTGCCAATCATCAGACAATATAATGATCTTTAATAAACACTTTGCTAAGTATAACTTCTATTCTCCTAAACAGTAATCTTAAACACTAAAAATTCTATTGGAATTATAGTAATTTATTTTCTAAACACAAGGTCTATGAAGTCAATTTTATCCATGGCCGTAGTTAAATAGCGGCAAAACTTTTAAGTATTTTTTTTAAATTTAGTAAAACACCTTCACCTAAATATGCTAATAAGAAGGAGCATTTGAATTTAATTCAAAGTTCGAAAAAAACTCAGAAGAAATAAAGGTACGAAAGAGTAACAAGTGGAAATAAAATTCGGTTGAATTAGTTGTACCCAGTAGAGAACACGATGATCCCCATTCGAAGGCGAAGCTAAATGTGTACTCAATAGGAAGAGAGCTTGGAAATATTCTTGGAGCATTAACGTCACATATTGCCTTCTGAAAGGTATGCTGAACTGAGAAGCCGACTACAAACAGTATAAATTGACGAATGCAAATAACTAATTTATGCTACTTGAAAATATAAGTAGCTAATTAATCGAAATGTCATTAACCAGAAAAACAAACAAAACGGATTTGAATGAAGAGCATATATTTCTGTATGTACATAGATCAATGACAGCAGTATAAGCAGCGGAGAGAAGAAATCGTTCTTTTTTTATTAATAGGTATCAAGGATAAAGGGAGTGATTGTCAACGTCTTCTTTCACCAATTTAGGGAAAGGGAGTAGAAAAAAAACGAAGTGAAAGAAATGTAATTAGAAGTAGTAGTTGTCAGCATTAGTATATTTGCGGAGAATCCGCAGTGTTTCGGGCGACAGCGTGGCAATAAACACTGACGAAACAGACAACAAGTTTGATCAATAGAGAGAAACGAATCAAATGACAAGAAAAGGCAGGGTCTTGGGAAGAGATATACAAAAAATAGCAGCCCACTTATGCTATTGTCAATAATAATAGTATATAAACAATCAACAACTACGAGAGATAACAGCAGTAGGAGACGACAAAAAATACAACAATAATCGTAGGAGTCACACAAAAGCAATGGCGGCAAAAGAGATTGTTACTCAATGTCCAGAAAGCGGCAGTAATTGATTACAAAAGGAAAAAGAGGCAGATCAAGTGGTATATGGGCGCAGGATTTACAAAAGCTCAAACCGGGGAGTTGGATAAAAGACGTCTGCTTTAATCGTGCAATTACGTATAGGGGAAATGGGAATCACAGACAGTACCCTGGTAATGGGAGAGAAATGAGAACACCCACTGTGTCACAAGTTGTGCTCTCTTTTAAATAATTGTCGTCCGTTTATTAGAGAGTAACTCTTCCAAGTAGCTTTGAATCCATTCGTCTCGCTCCTAAAAACAAAGATATAACCGTCACTACTCGCAACATTTCAGTAGTTGAGAATATTTAAAATTGACGACTGACTCTATTTACGCCAGCTATCACACCCTGTTCCTCTTCTTCATGCCTTCTAAGGAGATCTTGCACTTGGCGATCATTTCGTTGAGCTTGCGCCTTTCGTTGATCGATGAAACGCTTAGTATTATAGTCTTTCAGTTCACGATTCCGTCGATCACGTTCTGCCTTGTTCTTCAACTTCGGATCGTTCATAACATTGCGTTTGGAATCAAGGGAGATTTTGATCTGCTGGGCTTTCATCTCCCGATTTTCGCGTTCCTGAATCTGCTTTAATTGGCGTTTCTGCTCTTCGTGAGCATCTCGAAGAATCTAAGCAATCAAGTAATAATGAGAAAAATAACTCAAGACTAGAAAATAGGTCACGTACTATTAAAAAAGCTCTCATAATCCTTTCTTCATTTTTATTAACTAATTCCATAAGTTCATTTAGGTCGAGAGTAAAGGGGAAACAAACAAAAGGCTATCAAACCTTTTGCAGCCAAGTAGTAAGCAAGACGGCAGGTCGCTAGAGGTGCAACGGTGGGCTTGATAGGCGTGAGAAATCACTTTCCACACTGATTTCTTCCAATTTCACTCCCTTCCTCCTCTACTAACCCACCTTCCGACTCCTGACTGTGGTGGTGTCCCTAGTTAACCTATCTCCTTTAGGGGTCTTATGTCAAAAGCGCTTATACAGACCAATTTAACTAATTATTGCTACATTAAGTGACCAGTGACATCAAAATAGTCATGCCTGCGCAATGAAATCCACGAGTCTTCGCACTTATAAGTTAAAACTAGTTAGTTTCTGTCCAGACGTATTGAGACACTTATGGAAAACAGTATTAATGATAAAGGTTTGGAGGAGGTTAAAAGTCACAATGGCACGCATATGAGACTGACCTTCAAAAGAAGCTCCCTTCGAGTGTCCATAAAGGCAAGAATGAGAGTGTGGAGCTCATTCATCTGATTGCATTTCAGCTTACTCCACTCGTCAGTCTGCTGGCGTACAAGCTCATTCATTTGCATCATGTGCGCTTCTTTCAACGACGCGCCTCCAACTCCATTCACCACCCTACAGAACAATAAGTAAGAGCAATTATACCACAAAATTGAAAGCCACTGGCATTGAACCTGGTCGTCGAAAGCGAAGTAAAAATAGCAAAGAACAAGGTGTGAAATGTACTTACGAAGCGCAAAATTCTGATGATTGGGAAAATAAGCCATTTAGGCACCTCATGAGGCAACTGAGATTTGAAAAAAAAGCAAAAATTGGAGATGGTAACCATAGAAACTGAAAGAGACATTGAGCTATAACACGATCAACACATCAGACACACGCGTTTTCTATGGTACTAAGGGTATTTTTCGCTTTTGTGACTAAAGGAGACTAGGCTAATGGGTTTGAACTTGGCTTTATTGCAGGAAGTTACTGTGGAATAAAAATTTCAAAAAATTAAGAATAAGGGTAGTGGCTATGACAATTGAGGAAGTAACAGACGATATAGAGAGCACTTCAGTCAATTAAATCGCATTCTAAAGTCCTTAACGCTGTCTAAGGGAAAAAAAGAAAACTGCAGCAGACAAGCGTTAAGGTAATTTCAGCAAGACTATTTTAACACACCGGTAAGGTGCATTCTACATGTACACACGTATGCAGCACAGGGGCTTGATACCATACCTGAAGGTAATTGCGTATTATGTAGGTGAAGCAGCATACTAAAGTGTAGAATTCGTGACATGAAAGTTTCATGAACCTCAATGACTGCAGAAACAGTAAGAACAGCATCAGTACTCCTAGACAGCCAAAAAAACAAAATAAAGGGACTTAAAACGATTGATAAAGTCAAAACGTCAGCACTGAGAGAGATGAGCAACAACACCACAGATGATCTCAGGTCTAATCAATACGGAAGTGCACGCTAGTCCGAATACAAGAGATAACCCTCCTCCATTAGCAATTATATTTATTGTTCCAATAAATTGACCTGAATTAAATATATAGCCTAGCAATGTCTAGCGAGAAAAGGGGTTATTAGAGGTAGCAATTGACCTTACTGCATTGCAGAATCATGGAAGAATCCTAATTTGCAAAAAAATCCGACTAGGCAATAAGTAGTATAGTGTCTCTTTTAATTCATAAGAAGCATACTTTTGCGGAGTACTTCGGAGATTAGAAGCAGACGAGGAAGAAGCTTTGGCATGAAGGGCATTGAGTTTATCGGTGTAGATGGAATGAGTTCTCAGCATCGTGTTAGCCTCTTTCTCATGCTTTCTTCGCAGAATCTCCACCTCCTTCTGCTGTTTTTTAACCAACTTCCTATAGTTTTTATCACCCCGTAGCATTGATAAGGAGATTGGCGGGAATTTGGGATCCTCTGAAAAGGTGCAAAAAAGGGGCATCGATAAGTTGATCATGGCAAGAATTCACTTTCATGTTAGTTCGCTCGCTCACACTCTGCAAAATCACACTTTCAAACCAAGGGCATAATCATGTTACAAACCTTTTCTATCATCCTTCGGATAAGATGCAAAATAAGCTAGATGGGAAAAAATGAACAAGTCTTAAAATAGTGGTCTTTTTACTTGACTTGTGCTGGGTAGTTTAGAAGGTTATGCATTGCGTAGATTAAGGAGTAAATCGGACAAACCTTTCAACGCCACGTCATGAGAGGATGATAAATTATTAACTAGAGGGAAAAGTTATGTGCATGATTATAACCGTGAAGGCCATTGAGGAAAAAAGAAGGAGAGGGGTATGAAACGCGTACCTTTCTTCTCCTCTTTCTTTGCGCTGTTTCCAGATGCGCCAGGAGTTTGACAAGAAACACCGGCATTCCCAGAGGAAGAAGCAAGACCACTACTAGCGACACCGCCACCTAGTCGATGGTCACTGGAACCCCCCAGAGCAGGAAGTCCTAGACCTCCTGCGACTCCCGAACTACCAGGAGCCCCCAATCCACCTGTTGCGCCCGAAGAGGTTCCAGGAACGTTGGCACTGAGGTTCGCTCCACTACCTACTGGGCGTTGCTTCAACATGTTGAAATTTTTTGTGGAGGAGGTGGGAACTTCGTCTATCTCTGAGGAATCTATACCCATACTTGCGAGCTGGAAAAAAAACAAGAGATGCTAACACAAAGTGATACAGCTAGAGTGAGCAAATTCAATTATCACATCAGTAGCCTATTGAAAATATAAGTTACCGGATAGAAGAAATATCCACTTGCTATTTGTTTTGACTCAAACAGAATAGAGTTTAAATGATGTCGTAAACTTCTTGAGGCCCATAAATAAAAATGTAACAAGTAATGACGGATAAATATAACACATACGGAGTGTTGAATGGACCACATTACTACTCCTGGCTTGACAGAAGAGTACATTTGCCACGGCTGTGCCATAAACCCTAGTGCTGTAATCCCATTAAGGGATTACGTGTTTTCTTCAAAGGGATAAGCCACCTAAAATCTCCTCGATGGGAAATTAAGGTTAAATAGAACCATCTTTCCCTGGGGTATTTTGCAGACTAATTCTATAATTCGTGCCGAACTTATTTGGGTACTGATTCATCCTTACGTATTGACTCAAGTATGCAAAATTTATCACCGCAAGAATTGTGGTTTTGGGACTCTTGCACAGGTATCCCAATGCAAACTTAGAAAGTTTAATCTCAGTTGACCTATAACAGACGACCACTGGCAATGAGGGTGAAGTGTGTTGTAGCGATAGGCACCACTTTCATGTTAACTTTAATGTCCAACTTCCTTGTTAACCCATTCCCCATTGATTCTCAAAGACGCACAATTTGCTTCCTCGATACGACACATATTTTCTGTGCATTCTTAGCTAAGTCAACTTACCTAATACAGACTGGCTACACATCCAATTCAGACGCATTCCCAAAAAATCTCCCGATAACCGCACAACACTTCCAATTCAGGTAGGAGGGTTAAGAGAAAATTAAACTGGAGAAAATATATTGGGGTTTACCTGATTGACTAAGCCAATAGTAACGTGCCTACTATAAAAATGCATGAATTAAACCATAACCTTCCAATGAAGATAAAATAAAAAAACCTATGAAACGATTAATCAGCAGAAACTAGAGAAAAATGTTAGACTAGAGTAAGTGGTAAAGTTGCGATACTAGCAGTCAGCAGTACATTGAGAGAAAACAATCTGGAGGGTTCTAGAAGCGACACACTGCACACAAACAGGGCACACACACAGGCACACACACACACACACACACACACACACATACAAAACATAAATTGCTGCGATTACCTTCCTGCGTTTTCGTCTAGAACGTTTAACTAGACTCATCTTATTGGGAAGAAATCGAAGCAAACGCAACTACGAAATAAACAAGAGTGTAGAGAGGGTAAGAAGAGAATCATCAGTCTTGACAAGAAATGCGCGGAGGCAATGAGGATTACTAAGGAGGATGAGAAAAATGGCAACAAACCTGTTTCATGCGTTGCTCCTCTTTGCTGAGAAACGCTCGGGGGTCAGAGAGGGCATCGACAAGGTCATTGAGTCCTTCTGGGACATAGGTTGTGAGGGAGACGCGACAAAAGAGAGTGGGGAGGGAGAGTGGAAAATTGCCCTCAGTTCGAAGAGGGATGTGACGATAGCCCGGTTGGAGTCCGTCTAAGGGCAACACTCGTTGACCTATCAATTTTCCTGTGTCCTCGTAAACCGCGAAACGCAGAACAGCCAAATCTGGTAACACCACCTTAAACACACACACATAAACGATGAGGGAGTCGGGAACATATAAACGCACAAGGGGTTAAGCCTATTAGGTAATTAAAATCGTTGGACATTAATGAAAGCTTCAAATGCTAACGCATAAAGTGAACAACAAGAGAAAAACCAGATTGAAAGACGCACAAATTCTTAAACCATCGGAATAGACCAGACGACATTATCTTCCTACTGAATCAAGCAAGTCATAGCGTGCGTAATTGGAGAGAGTAATTTGTAATAGCAGAAGACTTGAACTCAACTAAAATGCTGCCAATTAGCAAATATAAAGGCAGAATTAATGAAGGGTACACATTAAAATACTGCCTTAAATCATTTATGAAAATAAGATCAATACCACATATTGAGCATTAGAGTAGCATTATGTAGCTCTATGCAATAAAATCGAGTTCTGGCGGCCCATCATTGTTAGACAGCTTACCTAGTGCGGATGAGTGTACAAAAATGAACGTAGAACCTGCGACCTCTGCCATAGCAAACAAACTCATGAAAATGTTCATATAAGAGACTTCAAAGCTAAGCTCCAACACCGCCAAATATTTCAAGCCTTGCGCAAACGAAAACCACGAGTGATACTAGCTTTTCCTTTTAAAATTAAAACCTTCCCTCATTTTTAATGATCCTCTCTTGATTAAAAGCGTCAAGCGCACAAACAGTAATTGGCTTAACCGCCATGCTTACGAAATCACACAGTGATTTCCTGCCCAACTCCACAATGCACTTGTCATTTACATGAATCATTTCTACTGCAGAAACGCCGGGAACCACCCCAGCCGCCACCAATCAGTGAGATTGCATTCTGGGAGAGTTAATTCAACCGAATGCTATGGCAGTAAAAGGCGCGTAGGAGGAGGGAGCAAATTAGCCCAGTGCCAAACAGAAACGAGAGATAAATGCAAATCCGTACTTTGCATAAGAGTCTCTGTACTTTGCCTTCTTATAATCCTCAATGATGATCACAAGAAGTTGGGGAATGATGGTAGTGGACAAAAGTGAAGTGGATTGAGAGAGGGACTAGTCACACTCCCTCACTGATTAAGCATTAAGGTAGTTCAGGCTCACTTGCTTTGAAATTGCGTGATATTATATTCACCCAACCTGGACTGGACTTAAGAACAACTGTCAGCACCCAAGTATATACTACTCACATAGGGACGCTCCAAGAGGTGGCTATCTATTCATATTAATAATTCCGGCAATGACGTTTAGAAGAGTTGATATAGCACGAGAATAGGTGCAATTCTTGAGTTGACCCATTACTAGCTTAATCACAGGACAAGACCACAGTTCCAAAACTCCTCTACATAGCTAATTAAAAGAATAGTCACTAATAATTTAAAAAGCCAGAAGGTAGTATGCCGGCTGGTTAAGTGCGATTTAGGGTTATAATCTTGATAAGAGGGTAGAGGAGACAGTAGGGAAATTCTCTGTTTGGAATGCGGAATACCCCCCCCCCCCGCACCCGATTTCTAATTCAAATTAAACTGAAGCTTTGTTGTTTGTTATTTAAAGGTATTTGCTTAGACTATTCATAAACAACTTCCTCCAAGACCTGAGAAGATATAAAGTTTCACCAGTTTTCTAGTCAGTATTTGGGAAGACAATGCGTGCTGACGTTAAATCGCCCTTGTCGTTTGTTGGGCTTAAAAATCAAGATTTAAAGAATTTGAAGCCTCATTATGCTGGTGGGACCGACAGTCGATATTGTTATTAGTCATTATCTATTTTTTTTTCAACTTAAATAAAAGGAAGTCATAGGAAGTTAAACACGTCTACTAATAAGCAAAGGGTATTTCAACTATGCGAGGGGTTGCCAAGGCACTTGCCACTATCCCCGGCAGTTGAATAAGTAGACGGGTGGTTTCCCCGCCATGTTTCAGTGGGATCAATAAAGGCAAAGCAGTGCTTTTACCGCGTTTCGAGACAAAACCAAAGATGGTGATGCAAGTGCTCTAATAAAGTCAACAATTACTAGAACCATCCAACACATCTAAGCTGGTAGTAAATGGTTATGAAATAAATTCCCTCAAATTGGCATTTCGCAACACTTCACAGATTGGTGAATAAAATTTCCCCAGGAAGTAATCTTACCATCTCTTAGGGCTATACTACATGCATTTAGGAGTTTACTAGTACCCTTGAATACCCCATAACCGGACAATACCTACAGCATACCGTTGTACTTTTAGCCAGTGTAGGGGAAGATAAGTCCTGCGCAAATAAATTCTCCCAGAAATTTACATGCATTTCAATTCAGCTCAATGACACAAGCCACACATTCAATACGCAAATACAGGTATAGGGAATTCATCAACTCCAAGTTTGCAGCAAAGACATTAAATACGAAAGCTTGCTACACATAGCGTTATGACGTTTTAAAATATAATATTAATAAGTGAGAGGGTAAGAAAGGGAATTCGTGTATGAACAGAATAAAGCGAAACTAAAAAGAAAGCCTAAATGAAAAAAATTTTAGATAACAAAATAATGCGCGTTAGCTCTTTCATAATAATAATCGAAAAAATTATATCAGACAAGGCAAAAATAACCCACCTTTCTGAAAACAAAGGCAGCATCATCTCCATAGACCGGATTGAGGCCGTTGTTAGGGACAACCCGAGTTCGGAATTCCTTTCGAATAGTATCAGTGGGCAGACCATACATATCCACCTCCACGTAGGTACCCACTTTTCGATCGGAGAGGAATTGACCAGAAATGATCCGCACTTCACATGTGGCCGCAATGACTCCATCCATTGGAGACTCCGAGAAGGGATCAAACTGACGTTCTGGACGTCGCATAAATTCCGGTTTCAGGAGATAACTATAAAAATAATCAAATATTCATCGAACGTGAGCCAATGTCAATCAAGTTCAGGCTATTAGTATCGGTGAGTTATTGATGAACCCGATGAAAGAACAAAACCAAAATAATGGAAATCGAAAAGTGGACAAAATGAATGTCCTGCGATAAGTGCATTCACGCAATGTCATTGGCAAGCTAGAATCTACCAACCTCCATCCATTAAAAAATGTGCCGCATTTGAATGGCTTATGACAATAGTTAAACCACCTACGTTAGAAAGAATAATAATAAAATCTACACATTTTAGCGTAGAGGTCTATTCTAGCCAATTAATTAATTCTTAAGTAATTAAAATGAAACCCTTACAGCAGCATGACCATCCAGCATTAGCTCAAACATCATAATTTGAATCAACGAAGCATGATTATACCTTTACAACTTGGATGCAAAAGTGAATTTACTAACCACCGCATTTAAACTCGAGTTCAAGCACCTCTAAACCCTACGAATAATGACCGACTACACAATATTTAAATAATATTGACCTATTCAGAGATGCATATAAGAGATTAGACAGTTCGCACACACCTCACACCCATTTAGCCATCTCAAACTGCACATCGAGAATTATCCAAATTCAATTACTGTAGATGAGAAGGGTAACAATCAGATGTTTTAGAACTTGCAGTGATTGACATGTCACAGGAAAATTCCATTAACGGAAACAAAAGTTTTCAATATAAACCGACTCTCAAAGGATTAAATTTGAGGGGGGGGGAAGTTTTGCTAATATTTGCCATTTACAGTTAAAATATAACCGCAGTCAATGCGCATAAAATGCAGCAAAGATTGATGCGAATGATAAAGCTGTCGGCCACTACTCACCCACAATTGCCATTGTACTCAAATTTTCCCTGGTTCAACTGCATAGCAAGATCAGGAGTTTGAAAATTCAGAGCCACCATCTGGCAGCCTGCGTTCCAGAAAATCTTTTTGTTGGGGGAAAAAATAACATTAGAACAAGAGTCACTCAGAGAATTGGATAAAATTAAGAAGGACAATTACCTGAGGCATATAGTTGCTCGACTCTACCCGATTTCCTCTAGGGTATATTCGACTCATTTGGCGTTTGTTGTAGCTGGAGGAAGTTAGTTAAGGAAACAATGGGAAAGAAGAAGAGAAAGACGTTATTGGAACAAAGAGCATACAACAAGGAATGAGACTACACATGCGTGCAGAAAAAGGGGGGTTACCAAACAAATTCCGTGCAACTGCGTTTGATGAGACCGAGAGCAGCATTCTCGTTGAAAGACGACATTTCGAAAGACTTGCGTTGGCCTCAAACATGCGAGAGACGAGACAGGGAGAGAGGGAGAGAGAGAGTGAGAGAAGAGGGGGGAGGAGCAGTGAAAAGAGGAAGCAAATTAAGCATCGCAACAACAACAACAACAACAATAACGACAATAGCAAGCTCGACAAGATTACGAAAAATACAGGCATAATTAATGCTAATAAGTAGTATACGAGGGCAAGGATACTTGACAAATTCTATAGCCTCGTTTTTCATTAAACCCAAGGCTACCGTTTCGCTAAATGAGGACATATGATAATGCAAATTCTCTTCTGCAAGCATTTTAGGCCCCGATAACAAGACAATTAGACAAACCAAGGTTTGTAGGTGGAGACACGGGAGGTGGAGAAAATAGAACATAAGCATTAAACATAGTACCACAATTAGGCTCTTTAAAACGGACTAAACTTTACGAAACAGACTTGATACTGACCTTCTGCATAATCAAAGCCCTGGAACTTAACAGGCTGAGCGTAGTTGACCATGGAGGAAAGGAGGGGATGGATGGTTTTGGTTGCGCCAGTATAAATGTACTGGGCTAACATTGCCTGCTCCTCTTCGGCTGTTAAACTGCCCTATATTAACAGGCAAAAGAGGGTTAAATTACAAAAAAATAGCTTTAACCCGATTGCTTTCTTTTTGGCCAGAAATTAAAATCTAAATGAATAAGGAAAAGGTGACAAAAAAATGGCCCGGCTGTCCAAATGAACAAGAGAGATGTGAGTCCTTAATTAAAAACTACGGACACGATATATGAGACTGAGGAAAAGAAGAAGGCTGATTTATTGTGCAACTCAATGTACAATTAGACGTAGATTTCGTTTTCCAGTTCTTGGTCTTTGAAAGAATCTCATGTCAGCATTGCCATAATACTGCGAAATTTGAAATTTGGATACATTTTTAACCAAAGAGAATTGCTAATCAGTAAGACACGTTTTCAATAACTTCCAAATGGAAAATTTGAAATATTAAAGATAAATCAGCAAGCAATATTACATAGTGCCGGGCTGTAAAATGCAAGACCCATCTCCTTAAAAAAAACTTCGACTTTACTAGGCTAATTCCACTGGACAGTCTGCTACAATTGCTTGGGACCAATAAAATATGGGTAATTCAATAATATCCCACAATTAACAGTAAAGTATAACCGCTTTAGTAAACAGCTATAAATTGATTCGTTGTTACAAGATTTAATTGCTTGATACTAGAATAGGGAAGAACTGCAAGCAATGATTAAAGAACGATTTTCCACAAAAAAAGAAAAAAAACCGTTACAATAGTCGTCTCATTCACTCTTAACAATATCACTTAAAGTGCATTAGTTAAAAGTCAACGGAGGTGCATTGAATGAGAGAATCGACCTCAATCGATCTGTTACTGGGGTCATGCGTACAAACACCGGGTCATTGGGGCATTTACTAAAAAGAGACGAGAGGGAGAGAGAAACTCAACGAAGATTGAACTTTCAATGGGAGAATATGCAAGCATAACCGGAAGCCAATATTTTTTAAAATTGGCGAATACAGACTTCGCAAAGGTCAATTTATTCCTCGGCTCACTCTGTTCCTAAAAGTCCAAAAATCTAACTCTTGCCAGAGTGCGCTGGATTAGTCGTACTAAACTGCGAGCATTACGCGTAGAATGCGATAGTTTTAACGCCTAGCACTGGTTTAACACACACCTCTGAAAAGAACAGCGCAAACTAGAGAGTAACTTTAAAACTACTCACTAATAAACAAAACACGCAAAACCATACCAGCATATTTTCGATAAATAAGCGCAATTGTAGGTATAAAGGCATCTTATATGCATAAAATGATCATTAATAAAAAGATCATGAAACGCATCGAAAAATGCAAGCACAAATTAAGGTGATAGGAATATAAGCATTGCAAAAAAATTAGGAAAAACTAACCTCTTCCTAAATGATCCAAAACGGAGAAACACGAATGGAGGGAAACAAAGGAAAAGAAGATTCAGTAAGATTCACACATAATTGGGGGAAATAATACACAGCTTGGCAAGACAGGGTGGTGAAGAGTTTACCTTCTTTGTGACCAGTCGCTTCATCTCCGTTTCAGAGAGTTTACCAAGAAGGGATGAAGGAAACACAGCACTAGTTGAAAGGGTGTTCATTTGACCAGAACCGGGTCGAATTTTCGCCTCAGGATGGGGATCTATATCACCTAAGCGAGAGGGGAGAAAAGTGACCCATTATCCAGGGTAAGCATACACAGAGATAATCAGATGCACTGTATTGATTTTCTACGCCTTAAATTGATATTTTTCTGATAAAAATGCGCCTCCCCGGGTGCCATCATACATTACCTGGTTGCAACGAATCTACTAGATCAATTTAGGCACACCTTCCAAAGTCTGCCAGAAACTTCATCGTTGTCAAAACTCAAACCAAGCCCTAAATCAGACGAACCCCACCCCCCTCCCGCCGCCCATAAAAACAAGGGTGAAATCAGCTCTTTATGTGATGAATTCTTTCTGCTTCGGATTCCCACTCTTCCAAACTCATTAATTGAGTTTAATAAAGAAGATACAGCCTATAGAGTAGATGGAAGCCAAAATCACTTAAGACTCGACAAAAACTTTCTAAAGTGAAGACAATAGGGAGAATTAAATTAGGAGTGGAGAGAAAATTGAAAAAAAATGAAATTACCGTTAATGGGTGCAACATCACACTCCACTGGTGTAACAGTATCCGGATCTTCCGCAACATCATCCTCTTCTTGAACTGGATCTGCTTGACCCTTCATGAATAATTCAAGTTGATCTGAAATAAGGAATCAAGGCAATTTAAGTAGACATAGCGATGGCCATATCAAACGCTCAATACAGTAATCAAAAGCGAATCAGAGCCTGATGAAAAGAGAGTTAGATAGAGCCGAGATTAGATTAGAGATCAATTAAGGAACAACTATGGTAAATGAACCTACATTCTGAAAGAGATAACAAAACTGCATAAAAGCCAAAGAGTGTGAATTAAGAATGCAAAGGTGAAAGAAACGTGGAGAGGAAAACATACGCTTCTCGACTTCAGGATCTAGACGCTTATTCTTGATGAGGATTTTTCGCTTTAGTTTTTCAGGAGATGGGAGCGGAACGCCGGGTTCAAGCTAAAATCAATTTAAGCTGATTAGAAAATAATAATTCAATGGAGAAATTGACAAAGTTCTCAAATGCAAGTTTTCCTTCGGCTCATCCGAAGAATACCCAGATTAAAATTCATTTTTAGACACACAATAGTAAAAATACTTGCCAAGGCGAATGTGACTGTATGCATAAAAGCGAAAACAAACTATAAATCTAAAAACGATCAATAATTTCAACAATTTTATCGTTCCGTCAAATTTGTTGTACTATCAGTCGTCAAACGGTTACTATAAATGATTGCAGATTCGCACTAGCAGGTTTTGAACCCGTTTCATCAGCAATTACAGACCGAAGAGCCTTTGCACATTCCACTTCATCTCGCGGTAAAATCAGATAATGCTCTCTCCAGGCCCGGAGAAATGGGTCATAAATTAAAACCAGAGGCATAAAGGGGAGAGGTGGTGAGATTATAGAAGGAAAGTGTGGGGAGTAAAAGAGGAATAGGTAGGGGGGGGGGGGGGGGGGGGGGGGGGGGGGAGAGGAGGGAGGGAGGAAAGCTTACGGGATATTTATCAAGCGGGCTTTTCAATAGCAGATCACCAAGGATTTCTTCACAGTACTTGGCCAATTTAAATTGCTGGTGTTTGCTAAAATGAAAAAAACAAGAAAATGCGATTAACAGCTAATAGGGAGAGAAATAATGAATATTTAGGATAGGATAAGTCAATAATAAATAATGCCATACAGTGCATTAAAATAAATTGGAGAACGCCCTAAGTGAATGCTAGAGAGTTCTGGAATATTAAAAATCTCTACTCTCGACAGTAGGGACCTAAATACATCAAGGCGGCACAACCAATCGTGGAAATAAGTAAACTGACCAAAAAATTCTATTAAGTTAAGTTCACTCTTGAATGAGGGAAAGGAGTTACAAATAATGACAAATAAATGATTCCAAAATTAAAAAAACAGTGACGCTCTTAACGCTACAACTTTGTAAAAAATGCCTCAAGACAATCCTTCCCTCCTGTCTTGCAACACCTTATTAGACTAGTCGCCGGAAAACTCTTTTTCTCTTTGTTAGAGATTATAAAAGCACTTTTCTTTTGGAGCACTCAAGTCAGTAATAGGTTCGTCAAGTTAATATGGCAGTTCGGGTACGTTCAAAAAACGATATAAATTCTGAAACAGTAACCAATTTATGAATTTTTTTCATAGATCTTCAGAGACATAAAAGCTCAAAAACATGCCAAGTTATCGATAAACAATGAAATTCAAAAAAATTTAATTTAAGTGCAAGCATGTTGATGTAATAACACATTAGCTTGCATTGAAGAGTGATAAAGTACAGCACACAGGTACTAAAATAGAGAAACTTTCAAGGAGTCTATTCTGATGCAGCGTAAATTTCGAATAAAACCTCGCAGTTATGATTAATCACTCTTTGTTCCTTTAGTACTATTAATGGACTAATGAACTAACCAATGAAAGGGGCTGGGGGTGGAGGGGGGGGGGAGAATTGCATGTACTCATGAATTTCAAATTTAACACTAAATTTTAAGGTATTTCACTATTTTTTCTCATTCCCAGTGACAATTTGACGACGCCAAGCGAAATTTAAACAAAAGAACATCGCACACTTACTCCAAGGCGTGAACTAGCAAGTTTACGGCACTAAAGTGCAAAATTACAAAGTGGCATAAACAGTGGAAATGTTAATACAGCAAAAATTTGCAAGAGCTCTAAATCTCGTGATTGTGGATTTTAACGCATCCTCCACCCCCCCCCCTCTCTCTCTCTTAAATGCCAACTCAGAATTCCACATGGTTGAATTCGAGGAGATAATATAGATCATTCTAGACCCCCCCCCCACCCCCTGAGAAATCTAGACAATCGTGAGGAATGGTCATCGATTTTGAAAATATTAAGTTTAAGAGCATGAAAGAAGAGCGACTATGCTCCCCGCCAGTTAAAGATTATGGAAGTGTCCTGGGGCGAAGCTAAATGACAAATTTTCGAAAGACAACCTTATTAGCATTCAATAATAAGTTGTAAGTCACCAAAAGAGATGCGACAAGAGGTAAAGAAAAGACAATGAAAATGTCCCAATTTAGGGTAATTATCGCAATATCTGAATGACTTTATCAAACTGACTTTGCATTGTTAAAAATTCCTAAAGCACAACAAAATAATATGAAAGTGAAGAGCACCTTTAAAGGACTCCAGGAATAAGCAACTCTTTATTAAAAAAAAACTTTCAAAAAATTTTGACAGCCCAACAACTATTATACAATAAATTTGAGATTAGAAAAAAAATAAAATTGAGAAGTATTATTATCCCTCATTTTCTGAACACTGACAATGCTGAATGGCTATAGTCTAAATTAGCCAATCAAAAATTCAGAAGTAAAAGAACCCAAAAATTGCAAAGAGCCGAGGTGGTGAGTTAGAAGAGAGGGGAGGAGGTGGATGAATATCCTAGTTAAAATAAATGCTCTAAATACCTATATATATATATATATATATATATATATATACGAAACCAAATGTTAAATGTTGGTGAGACCTAGATAAGAGAGATCGTTGCTAGTGCTAAAGAAATTCACTTCTGCTAAGGGGAATAATTGCATAGAGAGGGGAGGGGATGACAATTGGATGGTACGAAAATAGACAACTCTATTTCACTCGGATAAGCAAACTCATCCAGCTTCAATGGAAAAATGAGCAATTATAAAAAGTATGAATCCACTGTCTTCAGTAGATTTGATAACTCATGAGTCCAAATAGAACAATTTTTTTACAAACTCAGGTTGATAAGGAAGCAATGAACTAATTTCATAGAAATGATCGCTACTAGAAACAGTGATCGGTTATCGATCACAGGCTATTTTTAGTGGGCGAGCACTGGAGGAATAGCATGTAGTGACAAATAGTTGTTTTGATTAATTTAGATGACATGACCAACCCCTGAATACTGACCTCAGTAAAACTGCTCCTTACTGTTTGACAGCGGTTATTCCACTTAATTAACTACTTTGAAATAAATAACATAATAGTAATTTGATGACTTATCGTAAATGCATAATCTAGTTAAAAATCCAAAGCACCTTCTTCTAAGCCCTTCCAAAGTTTTGGAATAGCAAGCTTTTAGATAAATAATGTTGGCTCATTAAACACAGGTCATGGTACTCCTTCGAAGGGTTTAATTAGGAAATATAGAACTTTAGAAGAAAAAATTGACCAAAAAAATAGACAAAGATTTGAATTCAAATTTGTTATAACAAGCATGGGTCATTTGGATGGGTAAATAGAAATGATAACAGAGCATTAGGAGAATTTTTTCAGGTCCTAATTATCACACTATTGGATAAGAAGATGGAAACTTTTGCTTTGACAAATTGCAAATCAAATGCTGTACTACACTTTTACAAACAAATATTCACTTTCTCTGTTTCCATCTACCACACCGCCCTCCCCCCCCCCCCCCCCCTCCTCTAGGCCTACCCTACTAGCGAAGTTCGCAATAGACCGGAAAGGAAAATAATTTCCACGAATTGACTAATTTCCTTTAAAGCCCAGAGCAGAGTTCATAACAGTAACACAGTTGGAATTCATTGTAGAGGGGCAAATGCCTATTTTATGACTATGTCTACCAGCCCATAAGTGGAAATGAAGTCTTCCCACTACTTTCATTATTGGTCAATGCACAACCAAAGTTAAACACAAGCCACTGTACTTTCACAAGCAAGATATGAAGAAAAGATCACAGTGGATTTAAACCTTTTCTCCTTCTTCCAGTTGAGTCTGAGTTATCGCAGAAGTGGCACAACTCAACAGGCTGCATGGATTATATTTGCAGCTACCTACCTAAGGAAATGCCCCTATTGACAGTCTATAAGATCTCGCAAAAGCCAACACAAGTTTACTTCATTTTTAAGGAAACCTTGGACAACGACGGTGAAGGTGAACAAAAGGTTATCAGCGAATAGAATTTAGTCCAAGAATGGATAAGAGAGTGGAATGATTCTTGCAATATGTTAGGAACGAGCCACAAAAATATTCGGAGAATTCCAGAAAGAAGACGTGCGAATTAAATGAAACACCAATGTATTGTGTCAATTACAAATAATAATAACACACTTCACAATAGAGAGAGATCACATTCAAATTGAGATCGTCGTGTCTCAAAGGGAACTTTCTCTATTATAAAAAAATAATACCAATATTATTTCAAAATTTTGAAGATAATGGAGAGAACCTGGACTTGAATTAGTGCTTTACTCAGAAGCTAATGCACATAGTACTCATTCGTGCTATTCTTGTGGGCTAATAAAGGCTGAGAGATAGTAATAGAAGAATCAGGCGCATTATATTCATCCAATCACACACCAGCGACCTTGTAAAGTTCGGATAAAGGAGCAGATGCCAAGAAAATAAAGGAGAAAGGCAAGGAGGCGGAGTGCGTGTGTGTGCGGGGGGGGGGGGGG